CCCTTAGTGTATGTGTACCGCGTCTCATCTGTAAACGATATTGTGATATCGGCATACATAAGTGGGTGCAAGTAAGTTGACGAGTTCACTGAACTCCCTCATCCTAGAAATCTCTAAGTGGTTTTCAATAATTGAGTAGAGATATCTATGATATAGTTGTACACTATTAGTCATTAAGACCTAGACATTACTGTGACTTCACTAGAGAACCAACTGTATCGTGACCTATCCCTGAGTTCCACCGAGGACCGCCAAGGGCCAGTGTTCATGCAGTCCGAAATCTAGTGGGAGGTCAGTGCATTGTAGTCGGGGATTCGGTCTCTAAAATAGTTTTGGATGTCCTGTGTATTCTTATAGTTTGTAATCTTCAAGTCTTTGGCCAGAGCTGACTAAGTGATTATTAGGTAATGTGATTCTCTAAGTCATGCACGTACCAATTACAACACTTAGAACGATCGCACAGTTACTGAACTATAAAGGAGGTCTCAATGAACCAATGTCTCTAGTTGAATCGGGACATATGTATCGAAGGGATCGTACTGTACGTTAACTATATCACACGGTTCTTGAAGGCACTTCATTTGTATCTAGGGAATCATGATGCGTAGTTATTAGACGCCAATCTTGATTCGTTGGGTGATTAAGTTGAAACGAGCTTCATCCTAATTATAACTCTAGGGACGAGTTTAAACCACAAAGAGTTGTGGACCCACAACTAGTTTAACTCCATGGCTATCTGTTGGGCTAAATATCTAACACGCAAGTCCACGTATCACAAACAAGTAGTAAAAGTGGACTCGTGAGAGTCGGATGTCGATCTCACACGGAATACTCAAATTATCTAATCCTAAGTACCAAATTCGAACAATTATGATTTGTATCCAGCCTACGCAAGGTTGTCAAATTTAGTCAACTAAATAATTAATCTAATTATAAAAGCAAATAAACACGAGAAAATATCAACATAAAAATGGATCTAGGATTTTATCTTCCCCCTATGAGATAATTCATCCCCAATTAAACCTCTATCATGCAAGTTACGATTCCGGATTATTAACCCGAGACACTAAATTACTCATAACCCACTGTCGCGTGTATTATGAGTCTATTATTCATAAACGGTTCACTATATGTCTATGCAAACCAATTATGAATAAATCATTAACTAATAAGTCCCGTAGATGGCTACCTAAGGTTATATCTGTATGTCTACGACACCACATGCAATCAACACACTCATCCAGTGAAAACTACTCGAAGGCTCTTCTATCCCTGTTCTAATTATTAAAATGATCGGTCGATTCAATTCTAATAATAACACATAGTAACATAAATTAGCTAGGTTCATGTACTAAATAAGATCAGATAGAAGAAATAATCATGGAATTAAACTTGCATAATATTAGAAAAATAGGTTCGAATCACCACATAGGGTTCCAACAAAATCCTAGATTAAAAACTTAGCTACTCGTAATTCTTATGATAAGTAAAGAATAAATAAAATAAATAAGAAAAACTATGCTTGAGTCTTTGTTGATCTTCGTTCTTCATTTTGTGGTGTAAAAGTTTCGTGCTTATGGTGTAGAGACTTGTTGCTTTTATACGCTTTTCTTGATAAGGAAGTAGTGGAAACCTAATAGGAATCAATTTCAACCACTTTCCCCCATCAGGATTTGTTCTTCGATTTTGTCCATGTTGGAGTCCGAATCTGGAATGTTGCGTGAATAAGAATGGTAGCCCTTGACATTAGCTTTCCGATGCCGCCAAATTCAGCTGATTTGAAGTTTGTATGAGAGAGATATGCTCGAAATGGTGAACACTGCCAAAGTTGTGGCGAGATTCCTTCTTCCAATTTGATTTATTTCCTTATTTGCAACTTTTTCCTTTCTTTTTAATGTTTTTTCCTTCATGGACACCTATTTCACATTTTTCACCTATAAAACACAAAATCAATCAATTAAAGCACAAATATAATTATCTAAACAAAAGATCAACGTAAAGTAAACGTATTGAGTGTAAATTCTACACTCAACATTATCTTACACCTGAAGCATCGAGGGTCAACACTGCTTGTGTACTTGAGTTCTTTGAATAAACGGTCAAAGATAAAAATGTTTAATCTCTGCATAATTAGAAGTCAATATGATTGAATCCAACGTTCATAATAGGAGATTATGAATGAGAATAAGAAAAGGAAAGAACTAGGCATTTATCTTAGTGAACTTTCTAAATTGGGAAGTTTCCAAATTTAGCAGTTCCACTGTTAGGGTTTCCAGTTTTAGAAATTGGAAATCGAGAACTGGCATTCGTAATGACGAGGACGTTTCAATGATTCCAAAAGTATAATTTTTATAATTTTCCGATCATTGGTTTATGAGAAACGAGCAAAGAAAGACTAACGGACTTAAGTTGTTGGGCCCGGTCTAACTTAATCATGTTAGGTCTTGTATACAAGACACTATATATACAAGATTTATACGTCTTGTGCACAAGTGTGAAAAAACCCTAGCCGCTCAACCCTAGTCTGCTGCCATCTCCGCCGGTCCGCCGCCGTCGGAAATCGGCGCCCACGCGCCGTTTGTTCTTCAATAGCTTTTTCCTTTTATTATTCTTCCATTTTATTGTAACTTTTGCTTGTCTAGTGCCACGAATCAGCTGAATTCGGTATACGAGGTGAAATCCGAGAGGAGGAAGACAAATGAATCGAACTGCCGAAACTCCGTCGCCGAACCGCTGCCGCATGCGCCTTCACGCGCCTCTTGAAGACATTGCGTGAATCACACCCGCCGCCGGTGCCCCGCCCGTCCGTCGTCGTCGCCGCTTCTCCCGACTGCACGGATTGGTTTCTGTGGCAGTTTGCGTCAATTCCGAAAGTTTGCCTCTCGCTTCAAGAGGTAATTTTCAAATCCGATTATATTAACTAGTATTATTTTAATATGATTAAATTATATGTTTATATATGCTTTACCGCTTTTCATGAATGATGTTATGAATATGTTTATGCATGATATGTGATTTACTTCGAGCATGCTACGTGATTTACTTAGTGAATTAATTATATGCATGTTTGTTTATAATTAACGCTGGAAGCATTAAGGTACGCAATTAATTGCTATTATCGAGTACGAGTTTATATGATTAAATTCGTTTTTCATATAAATTTATTTTTTCCGCTGCGTACACGTGCCTGATTCCCAACAGTGCTCCACCCTGACAAGTTACCAAGTGCCGGGAAGTCGTTGACAGTCCACAAAAGTGCCGCTCGCAAAATAAAGTAATGCCTCGTGGACACATAAAAAGTTTTATCCTAGATACCCACAACTCATTAAGCTCGTCGATCAAGGGTTGTAAATAAACATCAATCCCATTTTTCAGGCCTTTAGGACCAGAAATAAGCAATGACATCATCATATGAGAACATTGTATGCACATATTTGGTGGTAAGTTGATCATTAGAATTACAGGCCATGTGCTATGCTTGCTACTCAACGATCCAAATGTATTAAAACCATCTGTAGCCAACCCATGCCTTACATTTCGAGGGTCCAAAGAGAATGACTCGTGCTTCTTGTCAAACTCTTTCCACGCATCAGAATCACCTGGGTGCCTAAGAACCCTATCGTTACACCGAGACTCAGCGTGCCATCTCATTTTAATTGCTGATTTCTCACATACAAATAGCCGCTTAAGCCGCAAAATCAATGGGAAGTGTCGTAAAACTTTTTTTCGTACCCTTTTGCGTTGAGCGGTTGAAGAACTCGGATGGTTTCCTACGAGATTCTTCCATCCTGAAGCATTACACACTTTGCGTGCATTTAAGTTCAAGTCATCCTTACAAAACAACATGCAGTCATTTTCACACGCATCAATCTTGACATAACAATACCCCAATTTACTGATGAGCTTCTTAACTTCATTAAAAGTTTCAGGTATATTTAAAAAATTAAGCTTCCTGATTTACTGAAGTGTCCCAGTAAATGTATTATCACTCATTTTGCCTCGAGATTTAATTTTGTAAAACTCCATGATATAGGAAAGTTTAGTATATACACGGCATCCATCATAAACGGGGATGCACCACTCTTCAATGAGTTAACAAAAATCATCGATTTATGGGGTGGGTTCTTCAAGTGGATCTTGTTGACCTTGATTAAGACATGCATGCAATAAATTATCCATGTTATCACCAACATCAACGCAAACACCGTCATATTCATTTAGAACTGCAACTTCAGGAACGTCTACAACATTAGTATTGTTCATTTCATCGCCATTGTAATCTTCTTCAGACTCTTGATGTAGAGTCCATCGGCGTTGCCCATAAAGTTTATCCCAACCCCTCCAAAGTAAATGCTTATGCACAAATTCACGATCCCTCCACTTACGACACTTACAATCTCTACAAGGAAATCTTATTTTATTATCAGCATCACAGTTAGCAAAAGCAGAATTCATAATTCCACACAACCCTTTTGAAATATTTCCAACCGACAATCGTGTAACAAAATCCAACTCCTATCTTTTGGCATTCTTTATTTAGCAAGTACACCTAGAAATTGCGAGGGCTTCAAATTAAACAAACTTTTTTTTTTATTCTATCAAGTCAAGATTATATGCAAAAATTAAAACTAAATTAAAGTTGAACATATACGAAGTGCAAATCAAGAGTTTGCTCATATTTACGTAATAATTTTAAATAGTAGCCTGATGGAGTTTCACTCTTCATTCACACAATTATTTTCAATTTCATTGGAGTTTCAAAAATTATTCACACAATATTTTCGGAAAATACTAAGTATAAATCCCATTTTTCAAAAAACAATCTCAGAACTATGTATATATCCAATTGTGCTAACCATAGCCAATTTTATTAGGATTTCAAACCAAAGAAAAAAAAGTTTAGGGCAAGAAAGATTACCTTTTTGTGGCTGTTGAGGGCTAACTAGAGAGGAGGAAGTTATAGAGGCCTAGCCATAGATGAACGAGGCCGTAGGGAGAAGATGGAGGCGGCAGCGCCGCCGTACAGAGCTGGACGGATATTTGACAAAAAAATGAGGACGGCAGAGGGCGAACGCGGAAGGCGGACGACAGAGGCGGAGGCGGAGGTGGAGGGCGGACTGTGAGAGATTGAGAGAAAGAAAGAAAAAGCGAGTTAGAGAAGAGAGGAAATAAAATTAGAGCTTGTATCCTAATTAAAGTTTTGGTTAAGATTTCTAATAAACCGTAGCAAATTGAGACGAAAAGGAATCAATTGGCGACGTTATTAAGGTTTTCTTCGCGAGCAAAAAAAAAAAAAAACTAAATGCATTGGCGACGTTTTACTAGGGAACTGTCGCTAAAAGAGGGGGGATTTTTTCACTAATTATTCGGCGACATTTTATACACTATAGTCGCAACAAAAAAATAGATTTTTTTTAAAAAAAGTTTGAACATGGCGACGTTTATAGCCAATTCGTTGCCAAAAAGATATTTTTGTTCTAATAATTTTCCTTGCGACGTTTCTTTAACGTTTCGTCGCCAAGAAATTAATATTATTTAATATTTTTACTCTTTAACGCTACGTTTATCAAATTCGACTCTTTATTTGCAAGCTAACCATGATTTATTTGCCAATCAACTCTTTATTGGCACTTAATGGTTCGATTTAAAATGATCTTGGTAGCTACCGTGTAATCATCAATGATTTTCTCATCCAGATATGGATTTCATTCATGCCACCATAGCTGGCAAAAATTTCTGAAATCATAGTAATGGATATTGGTTGAGGCGTCTCCTAACATCGTCTTTAAGATGAATTCTTTCATCGAATGAGATAAGTAGTAGGACAAGAGTATGATGGTACTAGCACTAGTAGATTTTAGTTACACGATATTCACCCACTTCTTGGAGTGTTAGTCGATCGAACCAACATATATATATATATATATATATATATCCCCTCTTATATGTACAAAGTATGATACGATCCAGAGATGCTCCATGACGAAGAATTGGAAGACGCGAAAGTGTACGAGTTTAAAGACATTATTCGAGCTTTCCTTGGAGAGTAAAGGGTTGAATAAGACCATTGAAGAGTTGATGGTTTGGAATTGGAAGAAAAGGAAGAGGAAAATTCGTTGGACAAGTCGAATTCCATGCATCCCGAGATTCTCGCCTATTCTGGCAGAGTTTACCATTCGAGTTATAACTCTCGCATCTGAGATCCATTTAATCTAATTCAAAATGATTCGGAAAGATAACTGAAAGATCTACAACTTTCATGTTTTGAGCAAAGAGATATTCGAAGTGGAACAGTGTCGAAATTGAGCTTTAATTGCATGCACGTGCACATCCCAATGTCGCGAGTTAAGAAGGGTGATCGAGAAGTCGATTTGAAGATCAAGTTATCTTATTTAATTATGCACGTTTTTAATTTAGGTTTTATTATGTTTTTATTATTTTAGAGTCTTTTATGGTTAGGATTTGCTTATTTATTTATTTCCTTATTATAGTTTAGGTAGGAGTCCTTTTCCTTGTGAAAAAGGAGTCTTTTTAGACCTTATAAATAGGTTGCCAATTTGACTTATTTTAGAGGACGAATTTTGATGATTTAATTGAGAATATTCTCTTTGGTTCTTTAAGAACTCTTCGAACAAATCGGTGGATTCCGTTTGTTCACCCCGACTTACCAATCGATCTTTCACAATCGATTGTGGGGTCTTCACATACCAAGGTTCTTGCCTCTTTATAGGCAACGGGTCGCGGTTCCACCCCTTTGAATCTTTGTTTTTGGATGTTTTCGATCTTGCTTCCGCGTAGGGTATTAGGGTCCCGTAACGAGTTCTACGGGGTTCGTATCAAAGTATTATTGACTAGTTGTGTACCATAATTATTTTTCATCCATTTAGGGATCACGATGCAATCCCAATGTGAAATTTGTCCTTCGAGGATAATTGTTTATAAGACTTTCATGGCAAAATATAATGTGCAATGTGTCCTTTTTGGACATTTTCTCTTACACTCATTTGCAACATATGTAATAATTTCAAGTTGCCATTTTATCGATAAATGCATCCGCCTCTTACACATTAAAATTGTTGCAAATGAATTTTGAGACAAAGATCATTTCCTATTATACAGAATCGGCTTCTTATCCCCCTTAACGGCGGAAAAATTATCTCATTAAAATGGCAATTGATAATGTTGTCATATAACCCATTTGATAAAATTAAGCACTGAACACTGAATGCTGAATAGTCGTCTGAACGATTAAGAGCGGTGTCTGAATACTGAATGTTGAATGTTTAAGTTTGTTTGATAATTGTATTATTTTTATATTTAAATGTTGTTATTTTACTATATTGTCCTTCAAAATTGTGCAATTTGATTTTATTAGTTTAATTATCAATAATATTTCACTGGATATATTAATATATTTCTTTTGAATTGTGCTTTTTTCTTTTTGAATTATGAACTGTGCTTTAAAATATATTAGATTATATTCTTACTATGAAATACGTATATAAATAATATAAATCTCTAGCATGGCCATAGGTTTTCATTAAATATGTAATAAAAAGAGAGAAAAATGAAATTTTACTTTATAATAATTAACTTATCTTATACTTTCTTAGAAACTATATATTAAAAAATACTGCATATTAATATCCGTCATATTATGATAAACAATGTATTTGTCAAGAAATTAAGCATTGTTTCAACTTATATATATTTTCAAGAAAAAAACAAAAAAGTAAATTAATAACTACATGGAAAGAAGTGCAGCCTAAAATTCAATGAATTGCCTACATGGGGGAATAGCTTGATTCACCCAATACTAAACAATAAAATTATTTGAGGAAGACTTAAAGAAAAAGGTGGTTCAAACACTTAAAGCACAACATGGATAAGATAGTCTAAAATCCATTCAACGTACTGCTGAATGAATAAGTTCAATTATTTGGGCCGAATCGGCCATCAATTAGTGGCTTCATTCAGATTATCTTACCAAACACTCTTATAAAGATGTTGCTAACCGAATCAGCATTTTTTGCCATTCAGAGGTCATTAAGCACCTATCAAACGGGCCCTAAATATATCCCATTAGGGCAACTCCAACAATGGTAATACAAAATGAATACTCAAATGTCTTTTGATTATTGCTATAGTGTTTTAGTTTTTTGAATAAATGTCTTCCACTCCAACAATAAAACATCAAATGGATCATCAATTTTAAATATATTAATTTATCCAATTCAACCAATTTAAATACATATTTCCGATAAGATTTCATATCTATAATATTTTGGTTGCCACGTGTCAACTTACAATTCATTGTCAAGATTTTCGATAAGATTTATTTTCTATATTGGATCTTTAAAAACTTACATTCCTTCACAGTTTTTATCATTCACAATTTTTATCATATTTTTTCTATTTATTTCAGTATGCATCGTGATTCCGCCGTTCTAAATGCTTTCTTAACCGACTCTGATTCAGATGATCTTGAAATGCTCTTAGAAGCAATGGAAGAGGAGGAAGTTGAGAGAGAAAAACAATGCAAGCGTCGCCGTGGTTCAGTTCCGGGTAGAAGGGTTATTCATCGCAACAGAGTTGAAGGTTATAATAGACTTTATCGTGATTATTTCGCTGATAATCCTGTATATCATGATGTTTATTTCAGGAGAAGGTTTCGTATGCACAAACCTCTATTTTGTAGAATTATTTCTAATGTCGAAGCATACGATCACTATTTCGTCCAAAGAAATAATGCAGGAGAGGTCCCTGGTTTATCAAGTCTTCAAAAAGTAATTGCTGCATATAGAATACTTGCTTATGGAGTTCCTGCTGATATACTGGATGACAACATACGCATAGGAGAAAGCACTGCTATTGAGAGTTTACACCATTTTGTAAAAGCAATTGTTGCCGTTTTTGGTGAACAATATTTAAGAGCACCAAATGCGGTCGATCTGTCCCGGCTGCTCCAATTCAACGAGCAACGTGGATTTCCAGGAATGATTGGAAGTATCGATTGTATGCATTGGGAATGGAAAAATTGTCCAACCGCATGGCAAGATATGTACTCGGGTCATTTTCGTACACCAACCATTATATTAGAGGCGGTTGCATCACACAATCTTTGGATATGACATGCCTTTTTTGGAATGCCCGACTCACTTAACGATATTAATGTTCTTGAAAGATCTCTTATCTTCTCGGCATTATCAAATGGTCGTGCTCCCCCAGTAAATTTCACAGTTAATGGAAATGATTATCGTATGGGCTATTATCTAGCAAATGGAATTTACCCATCATGGGCTACTTTCGTGAAGACAATACCAGCTCCAATAGATTTAAAGGCAAAATATTTTGCACAATCCCAAGAAGCTGCGAGAAAAGACGTAGAGCGGACCTTTGGAGTATTACAAGCTCGTTTTAATATAGTGCGTGGGCCGGCATGATTTTGGGATGAGGAGACATTAAGTAATATAATGAAGGCATGCATTATAATGCATAACATGATCATTGAGGATGAAAGTGGTCCAGGTGGCATTGATTTTGATCATGTTACTCCAAATGTTACACCATCACATGAACATACAAATGAGTTTACGGAGTTTATTCAAACTCATCACCAAATTCGGGATCGTACTACTCATTCCCGACTCAAGCATGATCTTGTTGAGCATTTGTGGAATTTGCACGGTGAAGAATAGTATTGTTTGTCAATTGTAACCAATGTTCTTATTATGTATGTTATTTTTGTTGATTTCATTATAAACCTAAAATATGTGTCTGGTACTATGTTATTTTGTATGTATCATTTTATTAAGATGTTAATTCATTTTATCATCTACTAAGTCTTTATGCAATTTCATGTATTATTGATGCAAAGTTTATCTAATTCTTGTCAAATTTATTTATATGTTTTGCAGTTTTGAATAAGTAAAAGAACATAATGAATTCAAAATTACTTTTTATAATAGATAAAGCCGCAAATACAGTAAATATTAAAAATCTAGAGACATTAAAAATTCTATTTAACAATGCGAAATACCTAAAATAATTATACTGAACCATTCATTCTCAATATTTCGTTTTTTTTTCATTTTCTAATAAGCTGCCTCAGTCTCTTCCATTTCCGTAGTGTCTTTATTCATAATATCAATCTCTACTCGGTCTCCATCCATACGTTTACGCTCTTCGTCGTCATTTGTTGCCTTTTGATGTAATGCTATGAGCCTCTCGCGTTGATCACATCTTTCGCGTTCCATCGCTATCTTTATTTCCCAATGCTCATTTATAAGTGACACCGGCATTGTAGATGATGCTCCGCCTTCTGTTCTTCCTTGTTTTCTCTTGAGATGTTCTTTTGATGATTTGTTACCTAAAGGTCAATCTTTGTTGACAAAAGATTCATTGTTATCTTCTGAAGATATAGGAATATCTTCTACATTTGCTTGCTTATTTGAAGCATCGAGCCACTTCTTCTCTTGCTTTAGAATATTGAAACAATGTTCAAATTTAAATTGTCTTTTCCCGTTGTTAGCAGCATATAGTTCTCTAGCTTCTCGCAACTATCAGCCAAAAGATTCAAATATAAAGTATAATAATATAAATATACATTATAAAAAAAAATCAAAAAATTTACCCTATCATGATCCGTGTGACCGGATTGATGTCGATTGTTAATTTGATTAAGATAACCAATGAACTTTGCACATTGAGCATTAATATCTTGCCAACGACTTTTTATGCTTTGCTCGGTGTGTCCGCTTTGATCCATATTAATTATGAATTCATCATAAATTCTTCCCCAAAATGTTGTTGCATTTTGATCGGTTCCATATTGAGGTAATACAAATATCTTCATCGGTTGTAAAATTCGTCGATCTTTTTGATAACTTCGTTGACTTTTTTTATTTACGCAGACCTACAACATTAACAATATTTTCGGTTTCTACGATTGGATTCAAATTACAGCCTTCATCATACAACGACGAATCGTCACTAAGAAGATTTGTAAAAATTCCACAGTGAGAGTCCATCTACAAAAAAATACAATTAAAAATTTACAAGTAAAATACACAAATCAAAATCCAAAGAAAATTAACTAATACATCTAATTTAACCAAACAAAATTAAGTGAAGCAATTTTAACTAAATAAATTAACTAAGTCCAGCCCAGCCCACCCAACTCAATCCTATCCACTTAAATCAATTTAAAAAATCATAAAACTAAACCTAATTTGCACATTGTCTCTCTCAGCCGTTGCAAATAAAAAAAAAAAAAAAAAAAAAAAACCAGAGAACATACGTCTGCTTTGCCTCTCTCCTTTTTGGTCTCGTTCGTTCTGTGCTTCACCTCTTTCTCGCTCTCTCTTTTTGCCTCATAAGAAACTACCCTCCTTTTAGCGTGGAGTCAAATAGAAGATTTGAGAAAATTATTTAGTTGGGTTATAAAAATATGATGAGGTGAATCTGATTATATATTTTTTTCATTTTTTACCGTTGGCTGAATCTAATTTTTTGAATCAACTTTTTGGTTTAAAAAAAATGACCGTTGGGGTTTGAAATTACCGTTGGAATTTTTTGTTTATTGAATTTCTGGGAGCCAAAAATGCATCTACCGACCATTGGCACCAAAATAACCCTTCTGTTTGATTACCCTGCTGGAGGCCGAAAAAATGAAATATGGGCATCAAAATGGCAGTTAGACCTTTGATGCCTCGTTTGATTATGCTCTTGGAGTTGCTCTTAGGGGTGCAGAATATTGCATAGCATAAATAATAAACAAACTATGTAATATCATGTTATGTGGCTGAAAATAACTTCGGTTGAGAATCTAATAGATACTGAACATTAATGATAAAATTTCAAAATTTTAAAAATTTAGGGATGAAACTGTAAATTTTGAAAATTTAGGGACCAAACTGTAAATTTTGAAAACTTCAGAGACAAGGCTGCAATATTAAAAATTCAGTGAAAACCGAAAATTCAGAAATATATTCATTATCAATGATGAAAGGAACAAACAGCAAATTCTGAAAAATATTGGGATTAAATCGTAAAATTTTCAAACCAAGGGAACTAAAATGAATTTTTTGAATGTTTTGAAGGAGTAAACTATAAATTTTGAAAAATTAAAATATGCATAGGGTTTGGAATTTTAACAAGAAAATTAGATCCCTTTTTTTCTCGTTTGGTTTAAATTTCATCTTATCTAGACCAATTATATAAAATAAATCATATAAATACCTCTACCGATATGGATTTGGAATGAAATTTGCATCGGTAAATTTTTTTGATTCAAAATCTTTAATTGAATTGGTCAATATGGTGAGTCCAAAATTAACACAATTTCTTTTGCTTTTCCATTGGTGCTTGCTAAAGCTTATCAACATACTTTATGTAAAATGGATATATGACCAATCATTTTTCATATTTCTCATCTATCTTCCACTTCTAATGATGAGATAAAATTTATGATGAATAAGCTTGAGCACCATGATAGCTATTCATGCTGATATATCTATTCGAATTTTTTAATATTGTTGTTTTTCACTTTCAAAGAATAACAACAATTGAACGAGTTTTGTATTATCTCACAGCTCGTATTATAGTACGATATGCTATTAAAAATCTTTTTTTGCTATACCAAGTGCAACTTGAGTTTTATGTTGCCACTTCATGATCATAATATTGATCCATAAATTAAAGAATATTATCTCTTACATATATTCATAAGTAACTATATCATATGTTGCTTTTACAATTTTACTTATATGTTCAAGATATATGCCACCAATTCTTTTACTTATATCTTTAAGATATAAAGATATAAGTAACAACAATTGAACGAGTTTTGTATTAGCTCACAGCTCGTATTATAGTACGATATGCTATTAAAAATCTTTTTTTGCTATACCAAGTGCAACTTGAGTTTTATGTTGCCACTTCATGATCATAATATTGATCCATAAATTAAAGAATATTATCTCTTACATATATTCATAAGTAACTATATCATATGTTGCTTTTACAATTTTACTTATATGTTCAAGATATATGCCACCAATTCTTTTACTTATATCTTTAAGATATAAAGATATAAGTAACAACAATTGAACGAGTTTTGTATTAGCTCACAACTCGTATTATAGTACGATATGCTATTAAAAATCTTTTTTTGCTATACCAAGTGCAACTTGAGTTTTATGTTGCCACTTCATGATCATAATATTGATCCATAAATTAAAGAATATTATCTCTTACGTATATTCATAAGTAACTATATCATATGTTACTTTTACAATTTTACTTATATGTTCAAGATATATGCCACCAATTCTTTTACTTATATCTTTAAGATATAAAGATACCTTGCTCCTGTCTTTTAGACATCGTTTAATATGAAAAATTTGGTTTGCCTCTTCAAGATAGATATTAACCAGATAAAATATTTGTGTCTTCAAGAAATGTAACGGATCTCAATTTCAATAATTCAAATGTCATAGTGTCTTCTTCAACAATCAATCAATCTTAAATAACTTCAAGCTTCATGATATTTTTGATATCCTTGTATTACAAATGGATACTCATTTTGTGTACATATATATCATTCAAATCTCAAGTTTTGAGTTTTATATATTGAATTTATATTCTTGATTTGGGGTCTCAAGCCCTATAATTGGTACTTAATCGTAAAATAATAATACATTGAGTGGGAAATACTCATTAACTCAAATATTCAATTTTAATTATCATCACTTAGACCTTTTGTCTAATATATTCAATTGAGACCTCTAGTCTTCAAATTAAATCTAGGTCTCAAGCCTTTATATTTGATATGCATCTACATAAGCTTTCAAGCCTTCATATTTAAACCAGGCTTCGAGCCTAAAATTTATGAAGTTCGAGTTCTTTTTCAATTGATGGAGCTTTTCTAATACCAAATAAACTGCAGTTTACATCACATGAAACTTTAAGATTGACAAAACAATCAAACAAACCAGTCTAACAGAAACAAAAGAAAACACAATCATTTTCATAAGATGCAGATTCGATGAAGAAGCTCCCTTTCCTTACATCCTACCTTAAATAAACAAAAACATCATCATCACAATCAGAAGCAGAATCACCATCAGCAAAAAAATCATCTTCGGAATCAGAAACATCGGCCCAAATACAGAACATATCATAGTGGGTATCCCACGGGTATCTCCGCGTATAGTTGTGAGGAAGCTTAAGATCTTTAATCCTCTGCAAACACAATCTTTCTAAGTCTCCAACAAGATCAACATTAATACTACGTCTCAGATCAAGTGATTCAAGATTCGGACAACCTTCGAGAATTGCCTTCAATCCCACGTTTGTCATCTTGTTACCATATAGTTCAAGGTGGCGCAAACCATGCATATTTTCCGCAATCGCTAGCGCCTCCAGGTCACAAGCTTCTTCCGGATCGAACACGTCAGAATTCAATTTAAACGACTTCAATAGCGGGCAATATCGACCAACTGTCTCTATAGCTTTAACATCGAAAGATGAGTTCTGTAGATGTAACTCCTCCAACAGAGGCAAGTTTTTGAGTGCTGCTGTCAGAGCATCGCCACCTATGTCATGGCAATCCTGAAGACAAAGACGGCTGAGCTGAATAGACCTGTTTAATAGATAAAAAAAAATACAATTAAACCTCTATAAATTAATATAATTGAGACTAGCCAAATTCTATTATATAATGGAATATTAAGTTATTGAATTAATAATTTCGCATGTTGTCACCGAGTTGGGACCAGGAGAAATTTATTATTTAAAAACAACGGCGAAGTGAATTGATATATACAAATCCTTTAGTCCATTTTTAAAGAATGCATATTAACAACCTTTCTTATAACAAATAAACTACAGTTTACATCACATTAATTGCGTCTGCAAACATGTACAATTACGGTTTGGGTCGTTTTTACCCGACAATCGAACCGTTATCTGCCCAACTACTGTGGACAATAATTACCCATCAACCGACCAGTTCAGGCCAGGCCGATAATATCAACTGACCCATGCATAGTTGGGTCGGTCAATAGTTTCCAAAATATTGAAAAGTCAGTTGGCCGATATTTAACAGTTTCTACAAATATGATTCAATAATAAAACATCGAATCATCAGAAATGAGTGGGACACATGAAAACTAAGGAAATTACCTCTGAGAAATGTAGAGAAGCAAATCATTGGTACAAAAACTGTGAATAGTGATATCAGTTAATTGGCCTCGGCTGAGATCCACTGCATGGCGGCACATTTTCTTTAAGTCGTATAACCTACCAGTAGCGCGTGAATGTTCCATCTTAATGCACCGCCACATTGAAGGTTCCAGGCTCACGCGCCGCCACGTTGGACACACTTTCTGCGCCGTCGTTAGTATCTCCACTGCCCCCAACTTGTGCAATATCGCCGCCGCTATCTCTGGCGGCAGTTTTTCCCACGGCGGCGAAGCCATTGGAGTTGTTTCCATTTCTTCTTACCAATTTTAAGCATTTTGGTTTTCGGTTTTCTTATAAGAAGAAATTAGGGTTTCTTCATCGGGCAATGAGTCTGTCAATGTTGAACGACGAGTCTACATTGGTACTCTACCATGGGCGTGGTGTGTAGAGTGAAATCACATTTAAGATGCTTAGTTGGAACGACAAAAGTAGTTTTCTCTACACTTTTATTTATGAATGAGGGTTACATTTATATTTGTGCTGTGAATACCACTAATTGAAGAGTTATAACTTATAAATTGGGGGAATTGCGTTGTACGCCCTAGACATGGCCACGGCCCGGGTTTGACCCGGACCCGCCCCGGCCCCGCCCCGTTGACCATGCAACCGGACCCGGAAAAATATGGGTCGGTTTCGGGTCCCAATATTTTGGACCCAAGACCCGGCGGGTCCACCCGCCGGTTGGACCCGAGACCCGGACCCAAGGACCCGACCCGAGTACCCGTCGGGTCCACCCGAATAAAAAAATATTTTTTTTTCGAATTTTGAAAATGCAACGGCTATAAACCGGACCCGGTCCGAGAATTCAATTTTTTTTTTTTAAATTACAACGGCTATAATTCCGGGTCCACCTGGACCCGAACCGGACCCGACCCGGACCCGGTCCGAAAATTCAAAAATGAAATTTGATATATGTGAAAATAATAAAATTAAATTTAAAAAAAAAAAAAAAAAAAAAACCATAAACCAAAAACCAGAGTTGGACCCGGACCCGAGTGGACCTGACCCGGACCCGCCTCCCCGCGGGTCGGTTTCGAGTCCCGAAAAAGTTGGACCCGGACCCGGCGGGTCCGACCCGGGGCCATGTCTAGTACGCCCCATAATTAACCCTAATTGGCGCTTTGCACCCTAATATTTCAAAATTGGCAAAGTCCACTCTCAATTTATATTTATCTTGGCACAATACACCCTATATCAATTTCTTATGAGATTTCAATAAAGAAAAATTAATATATCACAATATTTTAAGTTTTGAAGGGATTTTCATACTAGTTTTGACGAATTGGAAGTCATGGAAAAAATAAACCTAAAACAGAAAGGAAAAAAAAAAGGAGAGAGGATCATAAACAGATCGCCAGAGAGGAGAACATGTTCTCTTAAAGTAAGTGAGTTGAATCAACGATCGGAAACTTGAAGCGGATCACCAGAGGAAATGACGGAAACAATGACATGAATAAGGCAAAAATAAATTTATATGGACAAAATCCGGAATGTGAGAAAATCTCATCCACTGACGAGTGGCCCTGATTAACTAGATGCACTATTTCCCTCGAGAACCGCCATCATGTTTCAATAATGACTGATTCGACATTTGAACAGTCGGTTGCAAGCCCACGAGCAACGTCTGATCCGACCTATGCGGGATTCTTTAATTCGCATTTGAAATTTAAATTTTCGAGTAGATGGGTAGTTGATATGGACTATGTCGCACATATGTACCTCGTGAACAATAGTAATATAAATCACTCATAAAGCATACTCATAAAGCAGTCCAAGACAGCCTGAAGCGGTAGGCCCAATCCCTCTTAAGAGCATGATGAACTCTAAATGGCGATGTGTATATCCCCGTTACTTATGCCGAGTAGCGACAGGAGGTGAAGACACAAAACTCTACAACCTATGGTATGACCCAAAATCGTGGATATGATAATTAATAATCTATTTAACATTATTTATTATAATCATTTTACACTTTTTTAGTTTATGTTATGTACAATACTTGCAAGTTATTTATCAAATATTTGTCATGTCTGATTAGGAATGCGATGACCCGGACCCGGAGCCGCCTCCCCACGGGCCAGTTTTCAGGTCCCCTAAAAGTTGGACCGTGTCGACCCATGGCCGTGTCTACTATCAAACGGAAAAGTTTGAGATTTATAAGATAGATATATACACATCCTACCAAAGTAATAAAACAACATTTTGGACTAGCCTCAAGCCAATGGCATCAGCACAAAGAAATGAGTTACATGGTTTATTTACCTTTAACTTCCCGGTCACATTAGAGCTTATGCTAATTTAAAATAAAAATAAAAAATATTTTAACAATTCAAATAAGTAGAGAGGTGTCGAAAGCAACAAAAAAACCCACATAATTAACCTCTACGTATCAAAAATACGAACAAGGATATAATTTAAAAAAAAAAGGTCGTAGGGATTTAATTAGTGTTGCTAAAACCAAAGAAATTGATGGACAATTACCATCACAGAATGAGCTAGACTGTCTGCTGCTTCTTGCGTTGATGCTTCAGCATACACTCTCACCACATCTTCTGTTCCCGAAGGCCGTACAAAACATCGTCCTTTGGTGTATTTTGCTGACACACGGACGAATTAAAATGATAAACATGTTTTACCCAAACATTAAAAATACCTCAACATGTGTATATATAGTTTATGTAAGGTTATCAATTATCATGCTAAGAAATCGTACTATCGAAAAAAGAGATAAAGGCCTGATCCAATAAATAAATAAGTAGAGTGAGTTGCTTCATTCCTTTTGAAGCAAAATTCACTTATGCAACGGTACTATGTTAATCGAAACCAGAACAATTTATTTATATCTAAGGAGGGGTGCAACAGAAAAAAAAATTACTTCCACAAATTCACAAGGACGCGTCAAAAAACGAGTTACCTATTTCAGCATCAATGGCTTCTTGTATACCGACAGGGCTCACAACTACAGTCTCTGCATTTCCAGTAATGACAGCTGTCCTGTCAACAACCTTTACCTGAACGAACAAGTGAAGAATTATTTAGTATTATATATTTTTAATCAATGGAGAAACTTAGTTCCTCAAAAGCTTGAAGAAAATGTAGTTAAAAAGTGGAGTTTTTTTGCATTTCGCACCCTTGTATTCACTTTAATTGTCAAAACGATCCCTCGGTTCTTTTTATTAACATAAACACCGCATGATTGAAAGTCAAAGGCAAACAGTGCTTCTTTTTATTAGGAAAATGCAGCACAGGATTTTTTTAGAAATTCAAAGAAAATAAAAAGGAGATTTTTTCTGTTCACCGATAAAAAAGGGCTTTGTTTTTCCAGGCTTAGAAATGGGTGAAGTTTGCTCTTTCTGAATTGAATTCACGTATTAGATTCATAAGAAAGACCACTTGAATAGTACAATGGGATTCTGGGTGAACCCATTAACCACCTCATAAAAAAAAACATTATAAATTATATAAAAGAAAAGTTCCAATCCGACTCGACCCGGCCGGCTAATCCAAACACAAACAACAATTGGTAAATAAAACCTAATAATTGCACCCAATTAGAATCAAGCATAACTTCTATTTGTAGCTACATGTAAGACCAAAATTAATTAAATGAGTTGGGTGATTTTAAAAAGCTACACATCAATGCTACAGTATCTAAAACTCGAAAGCCATTAATATGTTTAATTAGATAAATCCATCATAAGTATGATGCGTTAGGCTTGGGTGCCTAGTAAACGAGACCCATTTCATTTACAACTTTCAGTAGCATTGTAGAGTTCACGCTAAGGACAGTCAAATGCCAAACCATCCAGAAAATATCAAGAATAAAACTAACCTTGAGTTGTCTGCTAGGTAAATCTTGGTAAAGCTCGTTCCATTTTTTGATAGACCATCCCATATGCTGCAAGATAGCCTCCACCAAAAGCAACCCACTTAACGCGTCTCCAACAGCCTGATTAATCAATTTACTCACGGCCAATAGATTCGAAGCAGCCTTATGTTGATCGGAACCTGAAAATAAGTCAACCGATATATAATCCATTTTACCAAGAGCATGTATATAATATAATTAAATAAAACCTTTTGACGTTGACGAAAGTTCGTTGTTTATATTCTCCAACCATGAAAGAAAAGTCTCCGAGAACAATATAGTTCCGTGTCCATTTGCTTCAAAATAGATGCCGATATCGTACTCAGCGGCTTTTTCGTGCAGGTATTTGACCCCAGTAGGAGTTAGCACAACTTCAAGGCCCAATTGTTTAAGGTATTCAGTGGATGCGCCATTAGCGTAAGCTGTCTGTACCACACCGAGTGATGCTTTATATGATGACGTGTTTGCTTTGTCATCAAGAATACGCAATTGCTCTTTTAGAAATAAAGCAAATAAAGACAATATCTTGTCCCCGTCAACAAGGTCGATCTTGTTACTATTTGATAGAACCGAGAAATATACAAGCCGATCAGCATCTCCGTCCAAACTGGCACACCTGAAACACTAGAGATAATTCCTTTAGGTCTTGGGCAAAACACCATAACTTAAATAACTTTGCAAATGATAGTTCGAGCTGGAAATCTCGTCACATAAAACTGTTAGCGATAACCAATAACAAAACATTTAGACACATGATATATTCCAAAATAAATGATTCAGCAATAATATTGACTTTATTGATACAATATACGATGCCATTAAAAAAATATAATAATAATAATAATAATAATATATTTTTTCCGCATTTATACAAATTTAAATATACGATGCCATTTAAAAAAAAAATAATGATAATATATTTCTTTCGCATTTATACAAATTTAAATTTATTATTCTAGATGCATTTCAGAGGTTACCCTTTAAAATTGATTAGTTCTTGAGTCTTTAAAATTGATTAGTTCTTGGAGATAATTATGAATATAAAATTCACAAACAAAAAACAAGAATTACAAGGAAAATAAATTACCTAATGCCGGCATCAGAAGGACCAAAACCACGAGGAACAACCTTCTCTTTCTGCACATAATCAGCACCTACACCTTCGTTAAGTACACCATCACCATAGTTACGAACATCAATACTTAAGTACTTCAAACTTGACTTCAACTTCTCCAGCTTTTCTCCACCAACACCATCAGCCCCATCCACAATCAACTTGTCATTCACATCTTTGCTGCTATTTTCTCGAGGAATATTATCCATCAAGTAGCTGAAAATTTTGTAATTCAGACAATTAATCTCGGTTAAAAAGTCAAATGAAGT